AAAATGAAAGAGGCTATTATAAGTGATGAGTCGAGATTTGATGTTTCAGATAATGGAAACTGTTGTATCACAAAGCAGGAAAATGAGATATAACAGAATAAATTCATTTAATATTGGAAATCAAACTTTACTTATTAAAAAGAACAATAAGATGTTTAAATCAATGTTTTTAACACTTCCAAAACACAACGATTCATTGATGGTTTGGGGAGCAATCGGAAATAATTACAAATCACAGTTGTTACTATGTGACAACAGACTTAATGCAATTGGCTATCAACACATGCTTGAAAGTAATAAAGTGTTTGATGATATTAGACGAGAACGCAACAAACAAATAGTCTATTTCCAACAAGATGGTGCCAAGCCACACACAGGAAAAACGACATTGAATTTTTTGGAGAACAATAAAGTGAGATTGACTGGGTGGCCTCCTTCAAGTCCGGATTCATCACCAATTGAAAACGTTTGGTCGATACTTGAAAATAGAATTAGAAAAAAGAAAAAATATTTTAAAAACAAAAAGAGTTTGTTTAGAGTGCTGAAGAAAGAATGGGAATCGATACCAATGGATACAATTAACAATTTAATGCAATCGATGGAAAAAAGATTTTCTCTTTGTATTCAAGAAAAAGGTAAATTCATTGGCCAGCTTCTTTAAAAAAGTTGCTCGAGAAAAAAAGTGTTATTACATAAATTGTATCTTATTTTTACGTGTTTTTAATTAAGATTTTCAACAATTAATGGTTTTAATTTTTGAAAAAAGTTGATATTGAAATATAAATAGATTCCGTAGTTTTCCCAAAACATTATGATAAAAATAGACCAAAATATTTTGGGGTACTATCGACTTTTGGGAAACAGTTTACATTCAAAATTTTTGTGTTTCAAAGTTTTCGCTAACCACGGTGACTAATGATGAATATGTAAAAATACTATATAAAATTACTCACCTAAACTTTGATGTAATGGATGTTGGAGTTTCAACTTAATTAAAACCAATAATTGTAATGATGATATTAAAAAGGAATGATGTTAATATTTTTTAGGTGTTTTTATACTTTTTTGATTTTGTAGATAAATACACAGAAATGGAATTCCTCATTTTTTCCCAAATGATTAAACAATTTTTATTCAAAATGAGAACTTAAATTATAACAAAGAAATATTTTCAAGACGTTTTTCGGAACATGTTGAATTGTGTTTAAAATAATTTGGAATAACAATCGTTTTTGATTTCAATAACTTGTCTATATCTTTGGAAAAATAATCAAATAATTCAAATTCAAAAGTTATACAAATATTCTAAATGGTTATGATATAGAGTATACAATGAAAAAACTTGTAGTTTCTAAGAGTGTATTAATTTGGTTTAAAAAGCCATATAATAAAACGCAAAGCTCTTAATTGTAAAACAAACTATCAAAAATAATAGAAAGTAGTGTAAACGAACATATAGAGTTGCGTTTAACTTATTTGAATAATATGAATTCTGGACACAATGATATTTTTGGTGTTGACAACACATGGTTGAAAACATCAAAATAACAGTTAAATTATCTCACTATCCACTTTTGAAAAAATACGTTAAAATGACGGTCATACCAGACATCATAAACACTAAGGAACCATTTTTTTAAAATGTTGCAGTGTTGGTAAATGATCAATGTACCAACGTTAAAAAAACTTTCCCTATTTGGTGAAGTTACTTTTACAAATAATAGTTCCAAAGAAATTAGAGTGTTAAGTAATAAAACCCAAAAGTTTGAATTTTATGACCCAATTCCTCCAATTAAATTTCTGTTTTTTAACATAGAAGAATTGGCAGTTTCGTGGACACAAAATAATATAGTGTCGTTCAAAGATGTGAATTGTTTGAAAATATTAAAACTTGAACATATGAGTAATTTGACATTATCATAAGATGGAATGTATCTTAAAAAATGCCTGATATCATAATCTAATCATTTAAAAATAAATTTAACATTTGTGGACTGCCGTTTAATCAATTGTGCCAAATGCAAAAATATGTTATAAAACAAATAAGTTTGATTGAGAACTGTTCTTTTGAGTGTATTGACAGTTATAATGTCAAAATGTTGATTATAACAATACACAAGACGCAAAAGAAGGTGATTGGATGTTTGATGATTTAAACCACAATTTTGCACAAAATGATTTTAACCAACAATTTTTAGAAAAAAAGAAAACATAATTAATGGTGATAGCAGTGATACAAACGAATATGACAATGAAAACAATGAATATGAATGTCAAGATTTAGAAGAAGATTATGAATATCAACAAAAATGTGATGAAGACGAAAATTCATATTATGCGAATTATGATGTTAACAGTAATTGATTCTTTATTGATTTTTTAAATACAATTTCGGTGTATTATAATAACGATTTATTTTCATAACCTTTATTTATTATCATTAATTTCATAATAGATAATAAATAAAAATAATTTATCAAGTTTTAATGAACAGATCTTATCAACAAAATTTGGACACTCTGTTTAGAACCAATTGATGTGTAGTTTTATCAAAAATTGAGATCAAATGAAATCATTTGATCTCAATTTTTTTATTATTGTTGGTCTTTGTTTATTTTCATGTTTCCAACATTTATCAATCAATTCGTACTGTTTGTCGCTCATCATTTCTTTCTTTGGCAATCGGTTTCTATTAATAACAAACTCTGCTATTTTCCATGGAAATTTAAATTGTATTTTATTATACGCTTCAGACCACCCAAATGTTTCATACATAGTTACTCCAAATGAAAACACATCAGCTCCTTTTGTATATTTTTCTTGGTTTAACACCTCAGGTGCCATGTACATTGGTGTTCCAATACCTTTTGTGAAAGTCATGTTGGTCATCATCAAATTGATGTTTCTTGATGATCCAAAATCAGTCAATTTACCATTCACTTTCTCTTCGACATCCAACGAGAATACCAATATATTGTCTGGTTTGATGTCTCTATGTAAAATTCTATTTGCTTGTAAATATGAAATCCCATTTGCAAGATCCATCATGATTTTGACTCTGACACTAAATCGAGGCATTCCATTGATTTTGGTTCGATTGATCAAGTCCTGTAAACTTCCATATTGTGCAAATTCGGTGACCATACATACTCGGTTTGGAATAAAAACAGCACCATAAAAGTGGACGATATATTCACTCCTAAATTTGTTTAACATTGACACTTCATTTGAAAATTGTTTCATTTGTTCTTCCGCATCACCACCTTCTAAACTTTTCATCTTTTTGATTGCAACGATGTTGCCTCTAAACGAACCCTTATACACTATACCAAACGAACCTTCGCCCAATTTCTTTTTTGTTATCAACTCGTCATAATCCAATTTAGAAGAATTTTCAGTTGTAAGTGTGATATTTAAAGAGACTGTTTTCGTCTCTCCTTTTTTAAGTCTAATGTCACTATTTTTATTTCGTCTGTCATTTTCATTGTGCAAAGAGGTATAATAAACACTTCAAACTCACACGCCTCTCCTCTCTTTAATGTAACCAATTGTGGCTCTGTTCGTATTATGTATTTATCACACCCAAAACGTGTTGTGAGTTGCACTTTTAAAATTCCTTTGCTTTTGTTGCCAATGCAGACGAGTTCTCGACTTTCCTCGTCCACAGGGAGTAATTCACTATCTTCTGAAAATGTCAAACAACTTTTGTTTGATAAAACAGTACCTTCTAACGTGACCGTTTTGACATTTGACTTTTTCATTGGGAAAACACAAATGTTTCGCATTTTTACAACTTCTTGGAGTTTTCTGATAATTACTAAAATGACCACAATAATTGAAATTATTAAAAGAATTAACATAAATACTAAAACCACTGGTAGGGCTATAATAAGTCCATAATTTTTCTTACTTTTACATAGAAAGGTTTCTTTATCCAATTTATATTCCTCTGAACAAGATGAACATTTGTTGTCTAATGACGCAACACAATTGGGAACTTCTGAATAATGAATACAACTTCCACTAGTAAGAATGTGGTTTTCAGAACAATTATAACACAAATCAAATGAACTACACAAAGTACAATTATCTCTGCACTTATAACATAAATGAGAATCCAAATAAAAACCATTTTCACATTTAGAACACCCTTTCGTGGTCTTGTTCTGACATCCAAATAAATCACTTTGGGGGTTAAAATATTTTGTGCTATTTTGTAGAGTTCTGTAATATTTAGTTTCACATAAAATGCAATTGCCATCATTTGTACACGTTTTACAAGAAACATCACATTTCTCACAAGCCTTCCCATCAGAAGACCGCATATATCCATCTTTGCAAACAACACATCCAGTGTATGTTGCCATCACCAAATCACACTTTGAGAGTAAATCGTTAATTTCAATACAATCGCCTTTGTTGTTTGTGTACGAATAAGCATCACATCCAGTACAATATGTTAAGTTCTTACATTTCACACATGGATACTCACATTTAATACACTTGTAGTCTTGAAGGTAATATGTATCAGAGCAACGAACACATCCTTTTGTCGTCTTTTCTAAACAATTTGAAACATCTTCATTCTCTGAATTTGTTTTTATTATTTTGGTGTTTTTTGTTGTCTTGACAATTTCGAGTTCATTGCATTTGTTGTGTTCATTTAAATAAAAATTGGTAATACATTCCGCACATCCAAGAATATTCGGACTCATCTTTTCACAATTTGGAAAGTCGGCTGTAATATTCAGGCATTTGTCAGTCGACTTGTAAAATCCATCCTCACATTTATTACAAGTACTATCATAATTATCGCAATTGATGGTCGAAGAGTCTATGTATATCCCATTGTTGTTGATAGTGTTGTTACACATAAGACAAATTTCTTGGTTTTGAATTAAACAGCTCATCTCGTTTAACACACAACCCCCATTTATGATGTGGTGATTTTTAGAACACTTCACGCATTGATTGCTTTTTTCTTTAATACAATTTTGATCAACAAAACACTTCATTTTGTCAGACAGTATTTGTGGTAATGCACATTCAAAATCAACTTCTTGTCCATTTGTAAATAAACACAAGCTTCCACTATTACAATTTATTATTAAATTTCCATCATTTAAAAATCCTTTTTTTTGTTTTGTAACAAAATGAATTTTTTGAAGTTTTACAGTTTGTGTTGGCATTACCACAAGAAATGCCATCTAAACATTGAAGGTAATTCATTTTTTGGTCGTTTTTTAAATTTAATTGGTATTTACAATTATCGTTTAAATTGCAGTCATTTACAGAAGTGATAACATCTGTTGAGCATTTTTGACAATTACTTATTTTGAATGTCTCACATTAACTATAGGGTTTCACACACTTTCCTTCAATTAAAATTGTACTGTTACATTCAAAACAGGTATTAACAACATGTGTTATACAATTTTCCATGTTGTTTTTGGATGTTTTGGTGTCCGAGTCGTAATGTTTGTAGTCTTCATTCCCAACAAACATCTTTTTGAATCATTTGATAAAACATGAGGTTGGGAACACTGCACACACTTCTGGGTCATATCTTCTTAAACAGCCTTTTGGAAAATAGAAAATCGACTCATAAGATTTAATGCATGTTTTTTCATCGTTCTTTACTTTTCCTTCGGGGCATTGTTGGCATTGATTATTAACAATATAATCGGTTTTACAGGTTTTACATATTTTACTTTTGGTCGAACAGGTGTCACATTGAGGATCGATTGTATTACATAAATAACAATCTCCGTTTTATAAATAATACCCATTAGAACACTCTGCACACTTCCATAAAGCTTCATTTTCATCACTCTGTGCATTACAAGAAACACAATGACTCGATGAAGAACAAGAAATACATGTGTTGGATACATATTTGAATCCAGAAGTGCAAGATGAACAATAACCACTCTCTTTATAACCCCCGGTACATACACTTTCACATGGTAAACAACTGCTAATCCCACCTTTAGAATATGTTATTGCTCCACATTCATGACAAAGTTGAAGAGAAGAGTTATAACCATACTCAACAAAACATCTCAAACACTTTTTATTTGTAGCTTTACAAGAAGAACACGATGTTTAACATGCTTTACAAGATGTTTTACCTTCTACATCTTGGTATGTCATATCTGGACAAGAAACACATTTTGAATTTTGATAGTAAAATTTAATTCCACATATTTCACATTTTTCAGATGATGTAAGACTATACCCATCTATACATTGTTTGCATTCACCATCAATCGAAAAACAGCCAACATATAAAGAACTTTATTCAATACATGGTAAAAAATATTTTATTGGTACAAATACTATTCATAAAAAAACACCAATAAAATGGCATACTTCACATAAATTTTAAATTTAATCATATCAGAATGTTGTACACATTAATTATTAATAAATAATAATAATATTATTATGTATATACTTCTGTTTTAATTACAATCCAAAATAAAAAAGCCCAAACTATAATATGAGTTATTTAAATGTAATTTTTTATTGTTTTATTTTGATGTGTTACATATTTAAATTATTAAAAATTTGATTTTTGAATATACAAAAATAAATATAAATTTAAGAAAAAACTCATTTAAAGAGTTTGAAATGAGTTAAATAAACTCAATTTGGATAGTCCCAATTGTACGAGTCCCTCCATTTGAAGTAAATTCGGCACCATTTTGAAGCGGAGTTCTTGCAGCATCACCCGAATTAATGCCAATTCTTAGGAATCTATTATTGAAAGTGACTTTGATTTTCTCAATTGTACTTTTAGTATAAGTTGTATAACTCAACCCTAAAAATCCTCCTCCACTACTTTCTTCGTACCATGTATTGTTAGTCACATTATTCAATGCCAAAGTAATAGTAAAGGTTTCAGGATCAAAAGTGTAACCAATTGCATTTAGTTGTTCATTTCCAATAAAGTGATACCCACAATGTCTTCCACTTTACCATCTCTCTCTTCTGTATTCAACATTTAACCCAGGTAATTCTACTGTATTTACAGTCTTTGCTACAACAATAAATTCTCTTTTGTTTCTAAACATGCTATATTGTTGACCAGGTGTCAAATTTCTTACCCTTTCACACATTTTCAGTTCATTCACAGTTGAAAGGTAAACAATATGTGTTTTAAAATAGTTATCCACAAATTCATTCACACTTCTAAGTAAAGAGACGACGTTGTTGTGTTGCACTGATGGAAAAACAACTCTTGAAACAGTTGGATATGAAGTACGTATCGAATTATCGTATGTTGTTTCAAACAAATGTCTAAGAATGTCATTGTTGGCCACAACATCAAAAGATCGAACTTGTTGAACAGTTTTGGAATTGAAATTATTGATAAAACTTGAATAAATGGTTTGTGCACAATTGTTGATTTTAATGTTTCCCCAATCAACTATATCTCTTCTTGCATTTTTCTGATATTGTAAAAGCAATTTTCGTATTTCAATTTCGGTGTTTGCCAATTTTGGTTAACAAAAGTTGCGATTTCATATTTAAAATTGTTTGAAAGCATTCCAAATTTTTCGTTAACTTTTCCTTGAATTAAATCTTCAACTTTTCTTTTTGTTGTTGCGATTTCAGTTAATTCATTCGAATTTAAAATGTCAAATCACCTCGCTTGATAGTTTTTTGCTTCAATTGAATACTGTCTTTTGATTTCTATCGAACTATTCTCTAAATAATTCTGAACCATAGATTTGAGTATATTTTGTGTGTTGTTATCTACTTTTAGTAATTCGCTGTTTTCTTTAACCAATTGTACTGTGATCTCAAACTTTTTAACCAAAATATTTCCTGTTTCTTGGGTTGACAAAATTTAATTAGAGTCATATTCACACATTGAAATAATAGAAAAATGTTGACAAAATGATTAAAATGCGTGTCATATAATTAGACATACCAGAAGTTACTATTACAGTTCGATAAATGAACCTTGTCTCATCAAATGAACCTTAGCGCATCTATTTTTATTTATACTGGAAAAGTACTTGTTATTTTCTTAAAAACT